ACCCGAACAATTAATGAGTAAAATTTTTTTAAATTACACGGATATATCAATCACCAAAATATCATGTATGCATCTTTATACATATTATACGGTTTTGGGGGGAGAAATGAAGAGTACGTTACTATAGTCACATGCATTCAGACAGAAATGTGTAATATGTGTATATAAGTGTATGGAATGTGAGTAGACTGTATACTTTTATTGGATTGATTTCTATCTTCACCAGAATCGTTAATCACACTCTCCAGTGAAGGCGTAGTTAGCCTCTGTGGTATTTATTAAAAGAAAATTGGCTGACATCGTTTTTTGATTGACTAATGAAAGATATTTTCATAGACTAACTTAAAATAAACCGGATGATATATGCTGTATAAAAAGGAAATAAAAGGCTCAGTCTGTAATCTATAGAAGAAATACTAAGGTTGTAAATGGAAATTATTTGTCCCAAGAAAGACAATTTGAATACTTTTGGGAATCAGAGTTTTTAACAATCATTGACAGTTTGTTCAATCTAATCATGTTCAACTTTCTTCAAAATTGAATAGATCACTGCTTGTTCATTTGTAGCTTCATATAAACGGGTTGATTATGTCTTTATTGCCGGTTACTTAAAAAAACTTTTTTTAGAAAATACTGTTTGTTGCATTTTGAGCTCGTCACCTAGATAAACATGGATTTGTATTGATATTTCCATAGAGATTTGGATTCAGTACTGGTGGCTTAAATAATAAGATTAATTCTAATTATGAAGAAAATTCTAACTCATGTGTATGAAGACAATGATCAGGCGTTTAAAATTATAGGTTTAAGGTTTGAATCTATTTGGTATTTTCTATTCTGCAATGTAACCAAGTGAATTTGTTAAATAGAAGGAACATTTCTATGTGAATAACATCGTCAACTATCATTTAAATAAAAATGAGGGATCAAAGTCAGAATTTCTATGTCTTAAGACCAGAGCTCAATCTTTGGGTCAGTGGGTCAACTAGGATTTTTGTTTTCAATCACTTCATTAGTTAGTAGTACCAGTCAACAGTTGGAATCAGTTTGTGGAGAAAGTGTTATAAATACGTATCTTATCCATATAATTAGCCGAATCAAGAATATTTTTGGGAACTAGACGATCCTTAGACTATATTTTTAAATAAAGTTTTATTTATATCACAGGTAGGTGAGCGTTTTTGCCGAAGACGAACTCAAACTAGCTGCATATTTATATCATAATCATAGAAGTTATCAAGATCAGTTTATCAACTGAACGCCGACTTTTGATGAAGCGTTTGTTCTGTGAATTGGATGGTTTGGTAAGGTAGTTTGTGCTGATGATATTGTTCAGAAGAACGATGAAAGCTCCACTTCCAAACCATCCAGCCTAGAGAACAAAACTCCATCAAAATCATCCACCTGAGCTACAAATCTTCTCCACCATCTCTGAACGCAAACTTTCAGTGATGTAATTTTATTATATCATTTTGCTTGTAGTAATTAAGAAAACTTTTTTTAATGTTATATTTTTCAGTTGAAATTTCGACTCAGAATTATTGAAGTTCATTGATATAAGTGCATGTCCCAAGGGAAAGTTGACTTCCGAAAGTGAAGATATATACACCTTCATTAACATATGGATTACAGTCAACATTTCATATCTGAAATATCCATTCAAGTTGTCAACTTATAATCTTGTTAGTTTCATCTGAAGATCTTAATTAATTGTTTTAATGTCAAAAAAACTGGAGGTCATCAAATTGAATCTCATGAATAATTATCCTAATATTTGCGTTTTATACTTTTAAGTATATTCTAGTGTTCAATGTATAAGAACGAGAATAGTAAAGTTTCTCAAATCACTCAAATACCAGTATAGGTCTGATTTTAAACGAGGTTTTTTTTAAAGAATTTACTTGAAAGTGTTACATTTTCATAATCTATAATCTATGAACGAACCAATCAGATTTAAGGTAAGGGGTCATAGATTTTGGCGCGAGATTCATCCACTCATCTGGCTAACATTTTATAGCGTAAGACTAGCCAGCTTACCTGAAGAAATACATTGACTTGAGCATCAGCAGCAAAAACCTAAAAAACAATGCTGAATCTAAGAAAATTTGTGCCAACATTCGGAATATTACACTAACTGCGGCATTTTAGCACACTTAAACATTAAATTATGTAGTGATTTCTATTATAAGTAACAATCATGTCAATTATAACTGTGTAGATAATGACATTTTCTTCTTCACTTTCAAAGTTGTCTATTTGTTCTTGGATGGTACTCAGTATATACAACACTTACGAAAGCCTACAGTTATTAAAGAAAATTCAAAATATTACCGTTGGTTTAGTTTGTGAACTGATGTATACTTTTAATCAGATTTTATTACCTAAGAATTATATTAATTAAGATTAGATTTTATGTTACTAATCGGTAATAAATGATCGCATTTATTTAAATAATTCAACCAAAAACCATGTTCGTTAAATTAGCATTTTTGTAAAAACTTGTTGCTATGTACCCTATTAACGATACTGCCAATTAAAGAACAGTGAATTATCGACCGGACCAATGACGCATAAAACCCACACGAGCAGTCTAGTATCTTTATAGGGTCCTTCTTCCCTGCCTAACCCTGCCCGTTGAGTCTAGAATACAAATCTCAGCGATATGAATCATGTATTTCAAACAAACTGGGTTCATATACAAACCAAACAGACCACATCAAACCATAAAAGAGAAAACAACATTTGTACTAGAACTAGCCAGAAATGGTTGTAAATGTGGGAGACTGTAATTAATAGATTGGATATAACTCAAGAAAGGTGAACTGCATAGTAATAATCTATGGATCAAAATAAAGCTTATAATAAGAGGAATATAGATATACATAATCTAGTTACTCAATAGTTATAGAATAAGAATATATGTGTAGTATTAGTTCATAAATAGATCCCAATGGTTACCATTCAATATACTCGTCGGGATATAATAATTTTTAACTATTTTTACATAGTATTGTATTAATCTTAGTATATTTTTACTATACATAATTACGTTTACTGTCCAATATATGTTTACAATGATGTTGGGTTTTTTAATACAAGTGCTCTCTATCTTTTTTCCTTTCAAAGTCCTTTTACTATATCTAGGTTAATTACTGGTATCTAGTACCACAGATGCGTTAGAAATATTGCTGGCGTCTTCTGGGATAACCGCGTAGGTAATAGTGAGGTTAGATGCAGGGTGTTAGGGGATAATGGTAAATCAGGTGATGAGTTTGTGAATCATCATCGACTGAGATGGTTGGGCCACGTGTTTCGTATGCCTGAACACCGATTACCACGACTAGTGTTGGGGATGGTTGGAAGAAAGTTAGGGGCAGCCAAAACAAAACGTGACATCAGTGCTTGAAGTCACTAACTTCTAGTCTGAGCCATGTTGGTAGATGCAGACTACTTGGTTTGGACCCGCGTGACTATCGTAACCAATGGTTGGAGACTCTTGGTGACATGGCTCAGAATCGATCACAATGGCGTCGGTGTATACTATGTAAAAATAGTTAAAAATTATTATATCCCGACGAGTATATTGAATGGTAACCATTGGGATCTATTTATGAACTAATACTACACATATATTCTTATTCTATAACTATTGAGTAACTAGATTATGTATATCTATATTCCTCTTATTATAAGCTTTATTTTGATCCATAGATTATTACTATGCAGTTCACCTTTCTTGAGTTATGTCCAATCTATTAATTACAGTCTCCCACATTTACAACCATTTCTGGCTAGTTCTAGTACAAATGTTGTTTTCTCTTTTATGGTTTGATGTGGTCTGTTTGGTTTGTATATGAACCCAGTTTGTTTGAAATACATGATTCATATCGCTGAGATTTGTATTCTAGACTCAACGGGCAGGGTTAGGCAGGGAAGAAGGACCCTATAAAGATACTAGACTGCTCGTGTGGGTTTTATGCGTCATTGGTCCGGTCGATAATTCACTGTTCTTTAATTGGCAGTAACATTACATCGTATAATGATAGGGCAGAAGGCCACAAGTTACAACACGAAGTAGAGTCAGATACACAATGATCACTAAAGTGTTTTAATGTTTCACCACTATCACAACTTTGCTTAGTTTGAATAAAACACACATGGATACAAAAAGGTTACTATTAGTATTAGTATTATTATTACTCGATATTGGTCAACGTAAATCTCAATTTAGAATCTTCGAGAATACTTAATTAGAAAAGAACAAAAAGGAAATGCAACCAAATTATATATATATATATATATATATATATATAAATGATGAAGCTGAGTAATTTCTGTATTTTGAAATGTAAACATAACTCCCTTGGTGTTGTTTTACTTGTATCTTCTCATTATTATCTAGGACTGCATTCGAGTCCCGGAGTCAACATCAACTCAGCGATACAGGTTTATCCAGCACACCAGTGCGAAATAGGACGAAACGCACATCAAACTGGATTCCACTACTAGCCACTCTCCATCTTCGCTTAAAAAGCTTATGACTTAAGGCTATATCGAGGCAGTCCGCATGAGATTTACATATGCCAACATGAGACTGATCAATTTCAGTCCTAAATAACAATGGGAAGATACAAGTAAAACAATATCAAGTGAATTTAAACTTCACCCCATTTCACGATTAGGTAGCATTTAGGACTCAGTAACTAAGTTGATGACACAATAACTTTTAAAGCGAACAGTAATTGGTTCAATTACCAGAGTGAACATCAACTCGGCAATGCAGGTTCATTCAGCTGACGAGTCCTAAATAGGACAAAACAAGCAATAAACTGTATTCCACTACTAGCCACTATCCATCTTTGCATAAACATAACTATTGAATTGATTACAATGTTATAATGAATTTTACAGAACCAAAAAAACAAATGATCTCTTTTAGTAAACTAAAGTATACTACTATAAATAGTAATTTATTACTTCACTATGAATGAAGGTTCAAATTATTATTATTATTATCACCATGTTATTTATTACTATTTCATTAATGATGAAATACAATTGTAGATAATAATGAAATGAATGAAAAATCAATTAAACTTTTATGAATACAGATACACTTTTTGTGTGTTTTTTAAAATTTAAAATAAGCGGAACCAATTATGCAATAAAATGGGCTTCATGAAATAAAAAATGAAAGTTAATATTAATAAACTATAGAGAATGATTGACCGATTGATAGAGAAGGAAGAGAAAATTAGAAGGAAGGTATGACTGCATTATTGAATGAAAAAAAACTAGGGGGGTAGAGAGAGAGTGGGAAAGAGTGAATGTGTGAGGAGTCATCATCGAGGTAGAAATACACTTCTTTATTTCGTTGAGATTGTCTCCTCAATTTGTTTCTTTTTTCTTTCGTTTGAAAATGGATAACATAAATACTGAATAGTGATAATAATAATAATAATAATAATAATGAATAAATAATTAGATAAATTTTCATAATCTATCACCTAACAGACGAGATTGTTGCATAAGCATCATTTTTAATTCATCACGATTAATTTTCCCATCATTATTTACATCCCATTGATTTAATATGACTTTTTTAAAGAATTCCAAATCAGCTTCATCATAATCCTATAAAACCAAAAATCAATCAAACAAACAATTATGAATATATTCGGATGACTAAAAAAATTTAAAAAAACAACCGCGAAACTATAATTTATGGACAAACCAATCATATATAAAATGACAGATCTCGGATTTTGGCGCGAAATTCATTTATCTATTTGGCTAAATAGAGTTTCGGCATTATAGCTGATATTAGTTTGTGATGAAAACCATAAATCTAACTCCTAGCTTTAAACATCAACTGTAAATCATATTTCTAATTACTCACACTGGTTTATAACTCTCAATTGGTCCTGGTTATTTGGTGGATACTCTCAAGGTCAGTCTAGGGTCACTCAAAGGTTGTCCATAAATTATGGTCTCACCAAAAAAACAACTGTAAAAACCCAGATTAAACTCATTTTCTATTGATCGTTTGAATCTTCTCAATTAATGATTAGGACTGCAGTCGATTAATGTGTTATTGGCAATATGTGCATGCTGTTCGGATGGCCTTGATATTGTCTTAGGATACAAACATTTTAGGCAGAGATAGATGGTGGCCAGTAATGGAATCCAGGGTATTTTACTTTCAGGTATAATGTTTCAAAGGAGTGTTGTAATAAATATCACTTTCCTAAAAATTAACATAACCTGGATTAAATGGATTTTTAGATTCGAGATTTCATATCTTTCACATTTCTTTGATTGAAATTAGAATTTCAAAAGCCTATAACCTTAACTTATCTTGAGTTATAAAAAATAACTCGATAATATAAATAATGGTATCTACCATCTTATTGATGTAAAGTTCGCTACTTGATTAACGCAGAGTACGGTATACAACTACGGCAGTTGGACGTATAGAATCCCCACAATCGCAGATCAAAAGATAGAAGAAGATTGGAGAAGTGCTTGTTAGGTAAGAATCAAGATATACAGAAAATGATGGAGTATTTATAGATATTAGCGTTTGTTATATCAACATTATAATCCAATGTTATGCTACTGTCCAATAATAACATGCCCCGTTGTTATTCTAGAAAGCCCTATTATATTCTGATTGGATGGAGACTCTTCGGCTCTTTTAGAGCCTCTAGAGTCTCCATTTTAGTTCTCAGTAGCCATTGCAACAATTGATGTGTACGATAATTTAATAAGATGAAAGGTTACAAGTGCTTGAGTGAAATAAATTGCACACACGTTTATACATGTGTTACTTCCTGTTAAAAAACTGTTATAAAATAGTATCTGGGTGAAAATAGTTTTTTTCTTCTTGGAATAAGCATAATTGACTATAATTTCCTGGTTTTCAATGGTTGTCTAGGTAAAATCATTCCGTAATGTATAACACTATACAATATGGAAATAATTTGATATTCATATTTTGTCTGGTCAGCTGGACAATCTAGACTTCGCAGATGATCTGACCCTTCTATCCCAAACGCAACAGCAAATACAGGAGAAGACGACCAGTGTAGCAGCAGTCTCAGCAGCAGTAAGTCTCAATATACACAAAGGAAAAAGCAAGATTCTCCTATACAAAACAGAATGCAACAATGTATTCACACTTGACGTAGAAGATTTGTAAGATGTAAAACCTTTACATATTTGGGCAGCATCACTAATGAACACGGCGGATCTGATGCAGATGTAAAGGTGCGGATCGGCAAAGCAAGAGCAGCATATTTACAACTGAGGAACATCTGGAACTCAAAGCAACTGTCAACCAACACCAAGGTCAGGATTTTCAATACAAATGTCAAGACAGATCTATTGTATGGGGCGGAAACCTGGAGAACTACGAAAGCCATCATCCAGAAAATACAGGTGTTTATTAACAGTTGTCTACGCAAAATACTTCAGATCCATTGGCCGGACACTATTAGCAACAACGTACTGTGGGAGAGAACAAACCAGATTCCAGTGAAGTAAGAAATCAGGAAGAAGCGCTGGAAGTGGATAGAACACACACATTGAGGAAAGCATTCAACTGCATCACAAGGCAAGCCCTCACATGGAATCCTCAAGGTCAAAGGAGGAGAGGAAAATCAAAGAACAAATTATGCAGAGACATGGAGACAGACATGAGAAGAATGAACAACAATTGAATAGAACTAGAAAGGGAGGCCCAGGACAGAGTGGGTTGGAGAATGTTGGTCGGCGGCCAATGCTCCATTAGGAGTAACAGGCGTAAGAAAGTAAAACAAGTAAACAAGTCTATGGATTCATTTGGTTAATTGGAACCTTAATAAACATTTGATTGTATAAAACATCAGAAAGAAGATAGAATACTACTAATCACAGGTGACAACATAAAATCTCTACTTTATATTGATTCATTTCTTTTTTTGTAAACAAATAAATTATATATACATAATATACACATATCTAGGATCTAGAATCGTTATTTCTGTCTACTTACTTCTTGAGCTAATTCCAATAAATCTTTAAGGAATCCTGATAATTCTTCATCTTCTATTGTACCATTTGCATCCTAATGTAACGAAATATCAATTATTATCTATTTTATCACGTATATAGTATTCATTCATTGATACATGTTGATAAATATCACTTATTCCAATAGTTGAAACAAAAAAAATAAGCAAAGTATTCAAAAATCTTAATTGCTTAAATCGACTTGTGAACTCAATTGTGAAAATACTACAATTTCTACAAATCTCTATACTGATAATGATCATATGGTTACTAGTGACTAATTTCAAAATAGATTTCTTGAAGTTCTAGTGAGAAATGGTGACAAGTGGAGTTCAACCCATGATGGGTCAAAGACAGTTATTCACCAGACAAAATGGATGAAAGATTGTGCGAAATCATGAATCAATTAAGGTTAAACATTAGCACTATTGGATGCAGACTCAGTGGTCTATAGGTTAGGCATTAGAACACAAGAGAGAAGATTTTGAGTCCGAGCCCCATATCAGAACGAAACGGCTATCCAGTGATTACAGGTTTTCAATGGTGGTCTAGCTTAGATTGATTGGTGAATTCAACTGTGAAAATGCTGCAATCTTCAGCAATCCCCATATTGCTGATTGCTTTAATTAGTAAAGATAAAACTTACCTTTACTAAACAAAATGTTGTCATATATGATTTATGATTACACGAGGTTCAAATAATATTCAAATTAACTTACAACTATTAAGATATTGCTTGGATTACATTTAAATATGATCATCCCTAACGAATTATCCTCATCAGTTTATATTTGTATTAAGAAATATTTTTATGTTTGACTTAACTACAATTTTATAAGTTGAGTGTAAACATCAATGAATGCTGACTCGTTGGTTTACAAGTTAAGCGTTCATGAATGGTCGTAGATGTGTACTGATGAAGAGTAACATACTAGGATGAGACGAGCGTTCAGTACTTTCTGGTTTTCAATTACCTACTTACCCACGCCTGTTACTCCTCGTGGAGGACCATAGGCCGCCCACCAGCATTCTCCACTCAACCCTGTCCTTAGCAATCCTTTCCAGCCCTTCCTAGTTGTTATTTATCCTTTTCATATCTGCATCTATCTCCTGACGTATTGTGTTCTTTGGCCTTCCTCTTTTCTGCGTCCCTTCAGGATTCCAAGTTAGGGCTTGTCTTGCGATGCAGTTTGATGATTTCCACAATGTATGTCTTATCTATTTCCGTCGTCTTTTTCTAATTAACTCCTCAGCTAGAAGCTGGTTTGTTCTCTCCCACAATAGACTGTTGCTGATGGTATCCGGCCAATGAATGTTAGATAACTTGCGTAAGCAACTATTTATAAACACTTGCACCTTCTTGACGATGGTTGTAGTAGTTCTCCAAGTTTCATCTCCGTACAGTAGAACTGTCTTGACGTTCGTATTGAAGACTCTGACTGTGATATTGTTTGAAAGTTGTTTTGAGTTCTATATGTTCTTCAATTGTAGTTGTTATAAAGCTTTATATTCACGTATCATGTCCTTTGGTACTTATTAGGAAAGTATCTCTGCGGTAATTGTAGTCGCATCTATCACCAAGACTTTCAAGATTATTGGTGAATCTAGCTAACAAGTACTAGATTGCAGGAAACCTTCTTTTAGGGTCCTTATGTTTCCTACGTTCAAACATTTATCTCATTATAGTGCATGCATGGATAGGAGATCCATTACGGAAATCACTAAACTGCATCACGAGGAAAGCCCTACCTTGGAATCCTGAAGGGAAACGGAAAAGAGGAAGGCCGAAGAACACATTACGTCAGAAAATAGGAGCAGACATGAGAAGGATGAATAACAACTGGAAAGAGTTGGAAAGGAATACCCAGAACGCGGGTGAATGAAGAGTGCTGGTGGGCGGCCTATGGTCCTCCACGAAAAGTAACAGGCGTAAGTATGTAAGTGCATGCGATTTGGAGTCACTTAGACTAGAGAGTGATAATGTACATTGATCCAGAGAATTCAATCGGTAATAAATTACTAGACAAACATGGGGTCACTTTTTAATGATCAGTTATTTGTACATTTGAAACTGATTTACAATGTTATATAATTTAAAATTAAAAGTCATCAGTAAATGATTGATCAGTTGAGCTTCTTTTTTTCTTCAACAAACATAAAAAGATAAAAAAACAATCTAATTTTATGATTTAAGAAAACTTTCCAAAAATATCTAATATTAGATGATAAATTCACTGATTATGAAAATTTTACGGATAGTTATTTCATTCTTAGCTATTCGTCGAATCGATCTTATAAAGGACTAAACTCTAGAATATTCATATCTGTTGATGATCAAAGCGATTATGAGTTGAGAAATCATAGAACAATGATCACCAATGAGATTATTAGTAAATCAGTCGTCATAAGTAACGATTATCTAAATTCATCAGCAACAACCATTTCAATGTAATAGTATCATTCTGCACTTTTTATGAGCTTAAATTAGAACAATGATGGTCACTAGTTAATGTACGATGGATTTGATGATTTAAATTAACAACAAACCTTTACCTGATAATGACTAGCACTGAAGCGTTAAATTTCTAGTCAAAAGCCGTGATAAATAGAGTTCAACAATGCCTAGTGTAAGACAAACGTCACTGACAGTATTGGATAATTATTATTCTATTTCATGAATAGATTAATGCTTGAAATGTAGACCGTTTACTTTGAACTTAGTACTTGAAATTTATAGCGATTACTAGGATATCTTTAAATTATAATTGGAAATAGTTACCATGGATCAGGAGAGTTCATCGTATACCACTGTGTAACTAAATGAATAAAACAAATATTTTACTTACAAGATCATAAAGTGAAAATGCTCGATCAATATCAGCTGATGTAATTTTCGAAGCATTCTATAAGAAAAATAAATATAAAGCAATTAATCCCTTTGATTAATTTCCACAGTGTAATAAAAAGACGAACATTATTAGAACTATGTGATGTCAATAATAACTCAATACATTTCAAGCAATCTGATCACACATATACTTTTTAAGAACATTTATATATAAGATGGTGGTTGGAGATAGTTAACCGTCATCTTATCTCAACATATTGTACGTAATTTCGAGTCAACTAGACTAGTGACAATATTGTAACTTGGTCGATAGGATTCAATTTGCACTAAGAAGGACCTAACATACATGACATTGATCAACATCCAGTGATCAATCAATTGTAAATACATTTATATATAAAAAATAAGAGGTCAACTAGAATAGAAACGGAGGGTAAGAAGAAACAAGGATAATAAAGAAAATAATGTGAAAACAATTTGAAACCTCATCACTCTGGATAATAATAAGTTAATATTACCAGAGTAGATTTCAGGTGAGAACAAACTGTTTTTGAATACACAGACGGGGTTTGAATTTTCGTATAGCTAGAGCTACAATAAACTTTAGTAAACACCCTTTTACAAGTTTGTACAACACCATAAAAGTCGAGTTGAGATCAATTTTATGACCTGTTTCAACTATGCGTTTGACAAAAGAAGATGATATATATCGTCAATCCTCGTATATAGTTATAGACTTAAATCGCGTTGGTGAACAACAGAATTAAATAAGTACAATAATTGATCAAGGCAGACAACCAAAAGAAGGAAGCGAAACGAAATGTCATGTTGTGGATGTGGCGGATTAGACGACTTGATTTAATCAAGCGTTAATCAATATTTATAGCCAAATAAAAATAAGTTAAAGATATATGATGAATAGGATAAGAAGTGTACACACACATACGCTCATGTAAAAACAGTTAGGGTTAATAAGCGAACAAGTGACAAGGTCAAAACGTGATTCAGAAAGAATGGATAGATTGGCCTGTTCAGATGCTAGAATATGGGTTTAACATAGGAACCGACACTACAAACTGTTACTATAAAAAGAAACATTGTATCTGGCTTCTTCCTGCTTTAAAGCTAATTTTGTTTTCTAGAATTCCATTAAGTATCATACAATTAAATGCAATTTATAGGTTGACTAACAGTTGAAGCTTTTATTACTGTTCTTCTGAAACCAAGTTATGTAAACGATTTAAAAGTGGAGTAGTAGTAGTAGTGTAGTGAAAAAGTAATACGAGTGAGGACAATCGGATGTAATTTAGCACAAAATTACAGCACATCTCACTAAAATCTGACAACCCTGCAGTAAATAGTTAATTTGCGAAATATCAACTTGACTGTTCCTTTTGTAAATATCAGTCTATAGTCTCAGATTTCATTATTCATGCATTTTCATACCAACTGCTCTTCGTTCTCGTTCTTCCCCCCTCGATCTTCCACTGAAATACATTCTATGTCTGAATATCGTTATATACTACTTATATGGATATAAGTAGCTCACACTACAGTAATATTAGTAGCAGTACACTTTGAGAATTCACATGGTAAATCAATCAAGAACAATTTGTATTCAACAATAATAGATCATATATAATGACATATAATATTTTCTCATTTATTAATTATTAATTTGCTGAAATCTCATTGATTTCAAAGTTATTTACATTAACTACTACCTTTCTAATTGGTCTAGAAGATGATTAATTTGATTCTCTGTTTATTATTTTACATGTATTTGTTATGTCTCAATAAGCATGATGAATGGTAACCTTAGGATCCATTTATGGACCAATACTAAACGTATGTTTTTACCGTATAATTGTTCAATAACTAAACCATTCATATTCCTCTTGTTATAGGCTTTATTTTGACTCATAAACTATTATTATACGTTTTACCATTCTTGAATTATGCCCTGTCTACTAGTCACTGCCTCCCACATTCACAGCCACATTTGGTCAGATCTTGTACAAATGTTATTTTCTATTTTATGGTATGTTGTGGTCTGTTTGATTGGTATATAAACTCAGTATGTTTGAAATATAGTGATTCATATTGCAGAGGCTGAGATTGGTGTTCTGGACTTAACTGGCTAGACTAAGCGGGAAGCGGGACCGATAAGTACTCTAGACTGCTCCTACGGGTTTTTGGCGTCATTGTACCGATTGATAATTCACTGCTCTCTAATCGGTGATCACAAGTTATAATAGTATTTTAAGCTGAAATACATATTTGAAGAAATTCTTCAAAGATTATAGATGCATAGGTTACTTGTTATTTACTAAAATTATTTAAGTAATATATTCATTCCATTATTCTACTCAAGAAACTACAATATTATTTTATTATTGTTATATCCTGATGAGAATAATAAATGATAACTGTTGGGATCTATTTCTGGATTATTATTATGCATATATTTTTATGGTATAATTGTTAAGCAACTAAACTTGTCATATTCGTGTTCCTCTTATTACGAGCTTTATTTTAACCAATGAACTACTAATATACGATTAACTATTCTTGAGTTATGCCTGGTCTATCATTTATTATCTCCCACATTCACAGCTACTATTGGTTAAGTTTTGTACAAATGTTGTTTCCTATTTTATTGGTACGATGTGGTCTGTTGGGTTTATATATAAACCCAGTATGTCTGAAATACATGATTCATATCGCAGAGGCTGAGATTTGTGTTCGGGACTTAACAGACAGAGCTAGGCAGGAAGTAGGACCGATAAGGTCTCTAGACTGCTCGTGTGGGTTTTATGCGTCACTGGTCCGGTCGATAATTCACTATTCTCTAATTGGCAGTATCATTACTTTATGTATTAATAGGACACAGGGCACAAGTTATAACAGTTATACTACTTATAAATCCTTTGTATCATAACATGAGAGAAAGAATGTTCCATATTGATCCAACAGTTTAAATAGATTAAAATTATAGTTTGTCATTTGTGCTTTATAGGCATTGTATTGGCTTGTGTCAATGAGAAGATATCTTGATTTACATTATCCACCTCAAAATGTATATTACTACAGTATTATAATATAATCATAAGAGTTTGATTAAGATTACCTTGAAAATTGGTCTGCATAAATAATTCTCTTTAACAGGAAGTAGTCTAAAAAGAGTTGGAATTATTGAAAATAATGGTTAATGATGATGATTATTATGATATAAATAACATTTACAATATAAATAAACAATGTTAGTTTGAACAACATCTTGCTTATAACGGTGGTAAATAGGAAAGCATACTCTACTTAATAGTAATAATAGTAATAATTTCAGTAGTTGGTACCATGAGCCAATTGAAGCTAGACCACCACGGAAAACCTGGAAGGACTGAACGACCATTTTGTCCTATTTTGGGGCTCCTCAGCAGTGAGTCTAGGACCCCGCCCCGCGAGATTCAAACCCATGACCAGTCAGTCTCGAGCGCGAACTCTTAACCACTAGACCACCGGGCCGGCATCTAACGGTGTTAATGTCTAACTTTAACTGAGGAGCCCAACAATGGAACGAAACGGCCTTCCAGTGCTTCTAGGTTTTGTATGATGGTCTAGCAACAATTGACTCATGATCTCAACTATTGAAATTACTACAATCTCCACAAACCGATTTTTTGATGATAATAATAATAATATTCACTGTTTTCATAACACAGCGTCCAATATGATTTTAATATCATTCTGTAAAGTATAATCAGGATAGGCTTCTACATGAATCATTCACGTAGGTTAGCCATTAGAAGATGGATTTTCAAAGATTTCTAATCATTACCTTGATCTGTCTACTATGAAACATATATAACAAAGTCGAGTTGTGTAGCCTAGTGACTTAATCGTAAGTTGATCATCAAAGTTCAATAAGCAACATTTATCTGACAAAATACAACTAACAACTGTTTTTTTCTTCAAAGTAATGATTAGAGAATATACAATGACAAATTGGATCGATTATTACACTACAAAAGGAATGATACCACTTAGGAGAGATAAGGTTATATATTTTGAAACAATACAATTCATATATTATTTTGACTGAATCCCTGTATCAAGGATTGTCAGTAATATCAAATACAAGATGAAAATAATGTTGGTAAACAGAATTGATATTACTATTTATTTTATTTATTTATTTAAACACATAAATATTAGTACTAAGGGGCACCGAAAACATATGCGCCACACATGCCACTTCATTTGTATGTGGGCGGTTATACTGCCTTGGTGACCAGACCAAAGCACGTGGTTTCTTTAGGAGGGGGGCACACAAGGAGCCTTAGACCTAAAGGTCTAATCCACAAGGCAGTGGTAGCCGGTAACCAATAATTGGTTCATACGCCATTTGTTTCCTTCGGATCATGGAGCCCATTTGCACGATTGGCTTGAAATCAAGGTTTTCCAACCCCCCTAGGTGTACTCTCCGTGTCCACCAATTCGGTTAAAGCATTGGACGTTCGCTTTTGTCCTCTGAGTTTCGTAAACAACACCCCCACCACTAGAAGACAGTGAGTATATGTATTGATATATGTATTCATACCTATTAATATTTAATATATATTTGAAACAAACGTTACCTTGCCATTTCACTGAGTTGAAGTTTACCATCTTTATTTTGATCGAATAACTGGAGCTTTACAAAATGAAATGAAAAGAATAATGGCGAACTTCAGAACAATTTAAATACAGCAAGTTTTTTCTACATTTATTAAAGAATTTTAAATAATTTCTACAATGTGTCATGTATCATCATGTTAGATTGTAGTGGCTTAGTTTCGTTAATCAATCCCCATGATAATCAGTAGTATATAAATCCTCAAACGTTGTTTGAATTCAGGAAATAATAAGAAGCGGCGACTACAATTTATTAGTGGATAAAACGTATAATAAAGTTACAAGCATAACGAACTAATTTGCAGCAGAGAGGCTACTACGTGTGTGAGCGAGAGAACGAATACAGAGGTGAATTTATAGTCAATATCAACATTTAATCTAGAGAGATATATGTGCATAGGCTGTCACATCTGATCAAGCCTACACATTTATACAAACATAATAATGATGATAATAAAAGAAAGAAATGAGTGAATTGTTACTATGCGAATAACAATGTCTGTCAAATAAGTTAATAAAAGTGTTCGACAAAATTAACCATAAACAAAATTGATTGTAAGTTGCTATAATATCATCTAGTAAACTGTGCTATACTATACAAATAAATATTTAAAACCAAACTGTTTTAACTTGTAATTTTGATAACTAAATAGTCTTTAATTTCTGTTACCACAACATTAACTGCTATCAAATACTTTTATGAGTAATTACTGGATTCGAGGCCCTGAGTTAACATCAACTCTGGGATGCAGATACATCCAGCTGACCAGTCACAAATAGGAAGAAACGTGCATCAAACTGGATTCCATTACTAGTCATCATCTATTCAAGCTTATAATGCATGTAAATCAAGGCAATATCGAGGCAATCCACATAGGATTTACATATATCAATCAAAGACTGATCAATTGCAGTCATGAAGATCAATGGGAAGATTCAAATAAATAATATAAAGTGACTTTTAAATGCATATACTGTAATTAGTGCATTGTTAGTTCATGTTTTTTTCACTGTCCTGTTTTCTTCTTTTAAATAATTCGATATGCACTTTTATGAATATATTTTCAACTCACAATCGTTCACAATAGCACAGGAGTATTCATTCATTAACCTTGACCAAATCTTGAATTCCAATGTAAACGTTTTTACAATACAATAAATAAATGAAAACCTTTTCATTCAATGATTTGCTTATACGGTGAATGTCAAAAATTTAGTATGATCATATATACATTCTCACTTTACTTTTTCAAACCGTATTCCAAATGTTCACTGGTTCTCACTATGATTAATACTACCTAATTTCGATCTTTTTTAGTAATTCGTCTCGTCAATTTCATCTTGTCGTGTTAATGTGATTTACTAGTAGTCTAAGATAACTTACATCTTTATCAGTCTCTATAGTGATGATGTCTGACTGACGGTTGATCAATCTTTAACATAGAATTAAATCTATGAACATCTGATTGTCAGAATGGATTTATTTGATTGTTAGAAGTAAGAATCATTAAATGAATATCTTCAAAGTAAGATTTTATAATTTTTCAAATTAATTAACAGATTTTGGCGAGGCTATAATTTACGGACGAACCAACCAGATTTAAGATAGTAGGTCATAGATTCGGGCGGGAAATTCATTCTTAAATTTAGTTAAAGAGCATTTTGAGATTTTAACTTATGTCAATTCGTGATGAAAACCATAAATCTAATTCGTAACCCTAACCATCGATTGTAAATCCTTATTCTCCAAACTGCTTTATAACCCTTATTTAGTCCTAGTTAGTAGGTGGATCTTCTTAAGGTAACTTTAGCGTCGCTCAATGTTCGTCCATAAATTATAGTCTCACCGAAGTAACATAAGTTAAACAGATAATAGTTTTTTCCTAAGGTTATTCAAATTACGTCAGATATCTTTATTCAAATTCTATGTGACCTAACACAAGCTTTCATTAGGTTCTTCATTTTAAAGTTTCGTTATTTTATGCCTAAGTAGAAAATATTCCTAACAAATATGAATACTTCATTTTTCTTTTAAAATGTTTATCTATTGTAAGTGGTTTAGGGAGGTAGTTGTATATCATCGTTAGCGCCGTGATTTAATTGTTGTTGAAAAAACCGTTGAAAATCACGAAGCATTAAACAACTATTTTGTCATTCCACAGAACACTTCAGTAATGTTAATCCATAACTATGCCACTAAGGATTGAACAAATGACCTGAAGTTCCGCTCAAGCTCCTGACAGTTAGACCTTTTAGCCAATATCCAGTAATCCTATTCTAGGTCAAAACAGCTGTCTACTGACTCATGGGTTCTAATGGCTGTTCTGTTGAAGTCAGTCCGTGATATTAATCACAAAATATACTTTAGGCAAATGTAAATGTTTTCACATAAAAATTTTTACAGTAGTTTACTTATCAAAAATGTAGTTCTGTGTCTCAGTATGTTTAGTTAGTTAGATATATGAGTGAACATTATAATTTTTTATCAGTATAGGGTCGTGGAGATTATTAAGCAATTAATTGAAGTCACGAAACGATCTATTTCAGGTCACCGTTGAAAACCTGGAAGCACTGAACGGCCGTTTCATCCTATTGTGGGACTCCTCATCAGTGTGCATTGTGAAATAGTTGAGGTTAGACATTAACACCGTTGGATTCCGGCTTAGTTGTCTGGTAGATTGGGCGTTCGTACGCGAGGCTGAAGGCCCTGGGTTTGAATCCCGCAAACGGGACCATGGATGGACACTGCTAAGGGGTTCCACAATAGGACGAAACGGTCGTCCAGTTCTTCCATGTTTTCAATGGTGACCTAACATCGATCGTTTCATGATCTCAACCAATAACTTAATAATTTCCACAACTCTATACTGATAATTACCATGTGCTCACTAGTGACTAGCTTCATGAGGGAATTCTCGAAGTTCTAGTGAGAAACCGTGACTAGTGGAGCTAATCTGTGTCGCGTAGTGACAGGTATCTAACTCAGTACAATGGAGGATGTTCACGCGATTTCGTGGATTGGTTAAGGTTAGACATTAATTTTTTTATCGATTGAATAATGTAAAGTTAATTTGGTTTAATTTTATTACCATTAAATGTGTAGAATTAAAATACGATAATTGTTTACCAACATGTTGGATAACTAAATTAATCTCAGTGACCTAATTGAAGCCTAAATTTATTGATTAAATGATGAAGTTTTTAATTTCTTTCAACTAATTCATATGTGATTACTCTGGTATTTTTTGTAATAGGAAAATCCTTTCAAACTTCTAGATCATTTGATGATATTTAAAAGCATGGTTTAGTCTAATAGTCAAAATGTTTTAATTCAATCCGTCTACGATGATGACGTAATGTTCGTGAAATTAATTGTTCGACTCGTGACCTGAAGGTTGTTGGTACAGAGAATGAAGATTTAACCCTAACCCTGGGGCCCATGTGCACCATTGGTTTGGAATCAGGGTTTTCTAACTCCCCTAGGTGGACCCTCCATATCCATCAACCTGATTAAAGCGTCAAACATTCACTTTTCATTCTCTCAATTTTATAAAAAAACGATATGATTTGTATGACAATATTTTCATAATTGTACTTTTATTTTACATTCATTTCATATAAAATGAATAAAACTATAACCAATAGAATATCAAAGAGTGATATATTATTAACAGAAAATATGGACCCCCCCAAAAAAAGAAGAAATCAACTTACGATGGATGAAGTATACTCAATTAATTTTCCTTCTTCAATATTAGTTTCCGGTTTTGCTTCTTTCAATAAGTGTAGAAGAAATGACTACAGAAAATAGATCAATATTTATTACAGGTTAAATAGCATATTATAGTTAACACATAATTTGGATTGTATAGATTTTATATTCAAGTGATTGTAAGAAATTTATTATGGAATCATTCTCATTGCAATAAATACACTACATCGTAGGCGTTAAAATACATCACTTGCATTTTCTTTAAAATACTCATCATCTCTGACCATATTTTTTAATCTACTCTAGATCGTCTTCTTACGTTGTATTGTTTATACAGCTTGTTTTTTACAGAACTGATCAAGGAACGTGAAGGAATATCATAGGGATAAGTCTAGTAAGTTAGAAGTATAATTTAATAAGCTGATGGAATTAAGAGTTTGAAACTAGAAGATTCTTACTTAAAAATGTGTTGGTGCACTGTAACAATGCGACAGACGCTGATTCATACCATCAGGATTCGTTCTCACATGACGCACATTACCCTACATCACACATGGTTTATTATTGAGAAATAAATTGAAGGCATTTAACACTATGAAGTTTGCGTATTTGTATCAGGCTAGTCAAGCAAGTCAGAAGATACTATAATTTAGCGAATACTTACTACACAGTGATGTTGTAGTGAGGAGGAACACAGGTGAGGACAATCGATATGTAGCACAAAGTTTACCGAGTTACTTGGTAAAATAGAGAAACCATATTCCAATAATTCATTCGCAAATTGTTCATTAACTATCTCAGATTTCATTGTTTCTGTAGTGCCATACCAATTGCTTTCTGTTTCTGTTCTTCCCTCATTGATATATTCAACCTTCAACCACCAGACATTCTATTCTTGACAAATGTTATGTACCACTTATGTCGACATAAATAGCACGTAGCATAATGTTACCGAAATACTTTTCATTTGAATGTATTAAGAATTAGAACAATCCGATATTCAGATCATAGATTCATAATAAGACGATGATAGTGGTTAGTAAATATGACGTTTATTTAAACGCCAATACTAACTTTGGAGAATCAAATGTTTTTTAAAGCTTTCCCGATATAAAACTTTGTACAGTGATGTGTTTAGAAATTTTCTATATCTTTAAGACGATAGTAACGTAATCAGTACTTTTCACAACAGTGTATCTATATATTCAAGTTAGTTAGTACATATTACAATTGACTGACTAACTGAGTTATGATTCTCATTGGCGCATAACATAAATAAACTTTATAGTAAACTGGCATAGAACTATCTGACATATTGTTATATCCCGATGAGAATGATGAGTGGTAACTTCTGGGATCCATTTATGGATCAATACTATGGGTATATTTTTATCGTATAATTGTTAAATAACTATACTGTTCATATTCATATTCTTCTTATCATGAGCTTTATTTTGACGTATGAAGAGTTATTATACGACTTACCATTATTAAGTTATTCCCAGTATATTAATTACAGTCTACCAAATTCACAGACGCATTTGACTAAATATTGTACAAATGTTGTTCCCTATTTTACAGTACGATGTGGTTTGTCTGGTTGATATATAAACCGAGTATGTTTGAAACACATGATTCATATCGCAGAGGCTGAGATTTGTGTTCGGGACTTAACAGACAGGGCTAAACGGGAAACAGGACAAATAAGGACTCTAGACTGCTCGTAGGGATTTTATATGTCATTGACCCGATCGATAATTCACTGTTCTCTAATTGGCGGTATCATCACGTTATGTACTAATAGGACACAGGCCACAAATTATAACACATATACGGTTGAAAGTTTGATAAATTTTAGTGAAACACTTGTTTCTATAGTTTAATTATCTTGTAATAATCTTTTTTTTATCCAAATGGGTTTTGTGGAGATTTTTAGAAATTTCACTTGTTGAAATCATTAGTCAATTGAAGCTAGACCACCATGGAAAACCTGGAAGCATTAACACCGTCGGATGCCGGCTCAGTGTTCTAGTTGGATAAGCGCCTGGCGCGAGACTGATAGATCCTGGGTTCGAATATCGCAAGGTCGGGGTCGTGGATGCGCACTGCTGAGGGGTCCCGTGCTAGGACGAAACGGCCTTTCAGTGCTTTCAGGTTTTCCATGGTGGTCTAGCTTCAATTGATTCATGATTTCAACCAGTGAAATCTTTTTTGTTTTACCCTCAACAAGTGTTCTCGATCACCATTTCCAAATCTTATATTACTTACTTTGCTGTTGACAAAAACTGTAAGACAATTTTGTAGCAAACTAGTCGTTCAATATTTATCATTTAAAACTAGGAAGAAGTAAGATGTTGAAGAAGATTTTTAGCTTCTGATGATGTCGTTCAGAAGAAGGACGAAAGATCTATGACTATACCATTCAACTCGGAGAACAAAACTTCATCGAAAAAAAGCTAGAAAGAAGTCGACGTCTGTTTTGTTATTGTTTTTAATTTTTCATTAATATTCATTTGTGATATAATAAGTTGTATAGTGCAACTTTTTCGTGTTTACTAGTAAAATGAGCTAACGCGCATCTTGGATTCCGCTGCTAGTCATCATCCATCTTTGCTTATGAGCTAATGCTGTTTATTATCCAGCCTATGTCAGATTAACAGTATAAAACTCTTCAAAATACTTAATTAAATAATTAGATTGAATGGCTCTATCATACATTTAACTTTTAATATGAAATGTGTCTTGAAAGATCGAATTTGTGTGTTGTTCAACTCCAGGTTATCAGAATGGGGATTTATGGTGATTGTAGTAATGTCAATAGTTGAATTCGTGTATTGGACCATTATTGAAAACGCGGAATCACTGAGCGGCCGTTTCGTTCTAGTATGGAACTCTGCTGCTGAGGAGTCCTATACTAGGACGAAACGGATGTCCAGTGCTTCCGGGTTCTCCACAGTGGTCTAGCTTAGATCGACTCATGAATTCAACTACTATAATTCCAAATTTTCATTTGGATATACTTTCAAGTTGAATGATTTCCACTTTCTACTGGATAAGCTAAACCAAAGAAATCATTAAGATTTTTCTTGTTAGAAACTAACCTGGTGTGGCTAAAAATAGTCGGAAGTTCATTATCATTATTATTGTAATTATTATCATCTTGAAAAACAAGTATGCATAATTGCGACTGTACAAGTTTGAAAATGAATTATAATCAGTATGATGTTGTGGAGATTGTTAAGTTTTTGATGGACATCATAAATCCATTGATGTAAGACCACCATTGAAAACCCGGAAGTATTGGACAGCAGTTTTGTTTTAGTACTGGACTAGTCAGCAGTGAGTATCCTTGGCCCTTGACCTCGTATGTGGACGCTTAGTCTTTATACCACTGAGCCTGGATCTAAAGATGTTAATGTCTAAATTCCATCGATCCATGAATTTCATTCATACATTGTCTCAGATAGATACCTGTCTCTACCCGACATGGATTGGACTTTACTAGTCAGGGCTTCTAACTAGAATTCCAGGAAATCATGCTAGAGCCGGAAAGAGAATTCTTTGCTAAATCAACCTTTCTTATTATAAACTAACCTAACAAGAGAAGTTGATAGTTATAATAACTCAAAAAGTGTTTTTTCCCTTTATATTTGGGCATTATTTTTGTAGATTTGTAAACTAAATAAGTCAACAAAATAATTTAGTCAATTTTCACCTGGTTGAAAAATATTTTCTAAATTGTGTTAAAGTTTTCTTACGATCACCCGATGTTTTTTAATTTATGGTTATTTTAAATTCACTTGGTACTGTTTGCTTATATCTTCTCATTACTTATAAAGCTTGTGGCTTAAGTCAATATCGAGGTAATCCTCATTGGATGCACATATACCAACAAGAGACTGATCAATTGCAGTCCTAAACATCATTAGGGAGATTCAAACAAACAATACAAAATGAGTTTATAATTCATCCCATTGTACAAGCTAGTGGCTATCAGGATTCAGTAGTTAAATGGATAACGCGATGATGTTTGAAGTGAACGGTACTAGGTTTGAATCCCTGAGTGAACATCAACTTTGGTATAAAAGTACATCCACGTGATGAGTCTAAAACAAAACGAAACGCTGGATTCCATTGCTAACCACCATCCACCTTTATTTATGGTTATTTTGATTCTTAAATAATAATGAAAATATTAATCTATTCACGTTTACTATACTAGATAAGATATGTATGATTTCAGGCTAATTTAATTGTAAATGAAACTCGTTTTCTCTAGAAATCAATATCAGTCGAATAAGGTTTATGAAGATACACTAACCTACTCTGGGATAAAACATCAATATCTAAATTTGTAAAAATTCATTTAGGAAACGTCAATCTTTACGAATAAGAGAAAAAACATTGTAGTTGATTTAGCTGACGGATAAGTGACGGTTACCTTGTTTTAGTCTGTAGCATAGTATTACTTTTAAAACTATATCCATGGAATTGATAAATGTTTCTAATTTGTTAGATATAACTATTTTATTAAGTTATGGTTTGAAAAATGGTTTGAATTATTTTTTTCCTGGTTAGGGTTTTTCTAGTGAATTAGTTTTCTACAAGATAGGATAGCCAACCCCATGCCCAATCCCCTTCCTTTATCCGAGCGTCAATTAGAGCTAGACCACTATGGAAAACCTAGAAGCACTGGACGGCCGTTTCGTCCTAATATGGAACTCCTCAGCAGTGCGCATCCACGATTTTAACTATTGAAATTACTAAAATCTCCACAAAACCCCTTCTGATAATAGTTTAATTTTTAAGATTTTTAAAATTAATTACAGTTGAACAGTTACTGATTCATCATTGTATAGGATCAACGTAGCGAGACTATATTTTATGGACGAACCAATCAGATTTACGGTGACAGGTTATAAATTTTGGTCATGGAATTCATTCATCCATTCGGTTAAATAGCGTTTTGATATTACAGCTTATGTTAGTTCGCAATGAAAACCCTAACCGTAACCATCAATTGTAAATCAAAATACTAATTCCTTACACTGGTTTATAACCCTCATTTAACACTAGGAAGTAGGTAGACATGTTCATGGTCACTTTAATGTCGCTCAATGGTCGTCCATAAATTTTAGTCTCAAAAAGTTATATTTATTTTATAGAGATTAATGTACTCTCATAACATGATGTATAAAGATATCTACCATTGTATGCATGCAATGAAATATTTTCTAGTCAAGTTACTTATAAAAAAGAAATTATATTCTTATGAATTCTAAGTAAATGATAGAGTTTCTAGTTATTCACATAACATATACTACTTTGAATGACATTAGAAGTAACAAAAGATTGATATGAAGACAAAAATATAAGGTAATAGGCAACTAGGCCTTTCATGCTAGTAGTTTGTCTGTCAAAGTCAATATCAGTATCAACTAAAATTTAATATCCGTACAGGTCCTTCGTAATGTTGAAAACACATAGAAGACAAATGATTACATAAGTTGTTGAAGACATAATGACTTATAAATATGAACTAGATGTAAACTATGTAATTGATTTAGATATCACAAAAAAATGATCGTGTGATTAGGCATGAAACACATGATATAGTACTTGAAACCTTAAAATCATTACTAAATCACATACATCTTGAATAAGATCATTTAATACATCTGTTTGCACAAATGAAGTGTGTTATTTTCGATGCTCTTATCATATAGAAGAGAACTAGGATTCTTCACTACAGATAATTTTCCACAAGTTACATACAATTGTTAAATAGATAAGGAATATAACTTCAATAGAATTATCTAAAGTCAGTCAGTCAGTAACAACGTAGACCTTCGTACGTACGTACATCAGTTAGAGTTGATATACCATATTACCACAGAGGTGCAGTTGTCCATTCAAATCCCATAGTGGTAGGGGTGGTAAGAGCATAAGCAGTAATCGGAAACATTATGGTTTGATGTTATTCAAGGAGTATAATCCAGTGAAATGAACTTCGAAAAAGAGAAAAAATGAGCGACGTGGAGACTTCAAAAGATTAGAATTCGGGAGAACACAAAGAGTGGATGCACCTGAGCCATTGCAAATGATTTTGAGCCAGGTCATCCAACGTTTCTAACCATCGGTTGCTATCGTGTCGTGGATCCCAACCGGTTAGTCTACACCTACCGACGTGACTCAGTTCACTTGTCAATGACTTCATGGATTTGTGCCATGTCTTGGTCTGACCGCCCCTAACTTTCTTACAACCTACTCCTACACCATAATAATTCTATATTATGTGTTATATTTCATTAAACATTTGATTCGTTCACACACTTTATGTATCTTAAAACAGATGAAAAGAATCAAGTAACCATTCAATGAATTCATTCAGGATATTTAGTTGTAATGATTGAAAATTGACCAAGTAAGTATTTTGAAAATAATTTTCATCTTTAATAATTAATTAAATGAATAATAGGTTACTATGTTGGATCTATGGATGCCGGCTAAGTAGGCTAGAAGTTAAGCGTATACGCGCGAGACCGAAAGTTCTAGGTTTTAATCCTTTGTGCGGAGTCATGAACGCGTATTGCTGAGGTGTCACTTGCTAGGATGAAACAGCCATCCAGTGCTGACAGGTTTTCAATGGTGGTCTATCTTAGATCGACTCATGAATTCAACTATTAAAACATATTGATCACTTACTTTCAATTCATCAGCTTCAATATATCCACTTCTATCTTTATCAAAACGTTTCCACACCTATAAAAAGGATGTGAGAAATCAGAGAATAACACATGTAGTAAGCATAACAATGTGATAATTACACTCAAAAATGTTTCTTCTTGAATATGACAGGTTGAAAATCATAATTAATTGCTAGCTTCATTCTTCTCAATTCACATTTTTACACTGTCACTTATTCGCTTATTAATCCTGATTGTGTTTTATATGATCGTATGCATGCTATCTGCTTACTTTATTCATTATGTGTCTGTAACGTTTTGTTCGACGATAAGTATTGATTCACTGTTGGCTAAATCAAGTTGGCTCACACTCCTTCTCCATCGCGCATCTTTTCGCATTGTCGTTTTCGCTTTCTTTGCTTCGTTTCCTTGATCGTCTATCAGGATCTATGACTGTATGAAATATACGTATTCGAAATTCATTCTAGTATTTGTCTTATTTGATTCCGTTATTCACTAACGCGAATGAGGTCAACAATTATATACGAAGGTAGCTCACATATATATCTCGATGACATGCAGCAAATGATCTACCTGGAGTCAGATCTCGGGTCAGTAAAAATCTTATTCACAAGTTGATAAATAATTTCTTGATATATCCGTAATATGTAAATAAAAATGAGGTACAATGAATAGCTTAGAACACTATGGTTTTATGTTAAGTGTGGTACTTTTGTTGTGGTCAGTTTGTATTCTGCACATTTTCTGTTTATTCAGTTTAAAATATTTTGTGAGAATTATCCAATCCAACTCTATCTCATTTTTTCACTCTTTACATTAATTTGATCCTGTATTGTTGTATTGAATTTTGTCAGTGAGATGTCTCAAGTTAGGTATAAGACATAGAATTAGCATTCTTTACACTTAATCAATACTCTGACTGATCTCATGACAAAATTTGGTTTACATGAGAGTTGTACAAAATCAAAAAATAAAATAATTTTACATGTCACTTGTTGAAATCATGAGTCATTTGAAGCTAGACCACCATGGAAAGCCTGGAAGCACTGAAAGGCCATTTCTTCCTAGTATGGGACTCCTCAGCAGTGCACATCCACGATACCGCTCCCCTCTGGATTCGAACCCAGGAGCTAACGGTCTCGCGCCAGGCGCTTATCCAACTAGAACACTGAGCCGGCATCCAACGGTGTTAATGCTTCCAGGTTTTCCATGGTGGTCTAGCTTCAATTGACTAATGATTTCAACAAGTGAAATTTCTAAAAATCTCCACAAAACCCATTCTGATAATTATCCATGTATTTTGTCGTGATCTATGATCTCATTTATCATCAATTCTTAAAAACGGAGACATTTTAATCCCTTCGGTGCAAATAACCAGTATTATGTTATCCAGCTTTTATTGCCTATCAAAGTGATAAATGTGTGCTGTGATCATTAGCGTGAATAAATCGACGTCGTTAGACAAGTTATTTAAAGACAGGTAGTTAATGGTGATCAGTGGAAATCATGCATAACAGTTGTCAATAATGATTATCAGTAATTTAAAATAGACCAATCACTTCTATACACTTTGAACCGCACAACAAACAATTAGAATGCTGAATAAGTTTCCATCAAACTATTTAAATCTTTGCCAATCTTCTTTAGGCTGGAAACACTCTATTTCATGATTTCTAATGTACCACATAGTAAACTGCCTTCAGTTCCCCATATAGGATATATTATTGGTCAAGTTTTTTTCCAACAAACCCTATTAAACTATTTTATCTTAAAAAAGAAAACTATGTGAACCGATTTTTTAATTTGATCTCTTTTTTATATTTAAAGATTGTTAAGAGATCACAAAACTGCTCACAGTTGATTTAGTGAATTCAAGAAAAACAAAAGAGAAGAGAATAACATTATTGTAACTATATGGATAAATAATATGACTATGAATATGTAAATTTAAAATGATGTATAGATCTTTATCATAATCCCAATCTCTCAAATTTGAGGGAAATTTTCAGGTTTTCCTCCCCCACCTCCGAAAAAAATTGGGGGGGGGGGAGATTGTAGTTTTGATCATTTTAGTTGTGTGATAAGTTGCTAACTATTTATTATTATTGGAAAAAAACAGAATCGTTTTTAATATCTAAACAGTGATTAAATGAAACTATGATCTTTTATGATATGATTTATAAAGAAATAAATATAGGATTTCACAGGTTGAAATTATGAGTCATTTGAAGCTAGATCACCATGGAAAACCTGGAAGCACCGGACGGCCGTTTCGTCCCAGTACGGGACTCCCCAGCAGTGCGCACCCACGACCCCGAGCCCCGCGGGATTCGAACCCAGGGCCTAATGGTTTCGCGCAAGAGCACTTAACAATTAAACCACTGAGCCGGCATCCAACGGTGTTAATGTCTAACTTCAATTGACTCATGATTTCGACCTGTGAAGTTTCTAAAGTCTCCACAAAACCTATTCTGTAAATATAGGGTTTGCATAAAATAGGATTATTGATTAATGATTTTCTTTTATAGACAGATTATCATATGTAGTCAACTATACCATTAGCATTTTTTACATAAAGTGATCCTATGAACAAGAGATGGTTGCGCTTGCATTTAAACATGTGCGTCATTTGAACAAGGCTTGGCGATATACAGGTTAGGTGTTCATACACGGGATTAAACTTTATGCGTTTCACCCTTTATGCAAGAGTTGTGCATCTGAAATAACCAGGAATTCAATACTACAACGAAATGAAGGTATAATTATATCGTGTTTTAAACGGTCATCTAGTTAACATAGATTAATGACGTAAACTGTTATATCCCGATGAGAATAATGAATGGTAACTGTTGGAATCCATTTATGGATCAATACTGTACGTATATATTTATTGTATAATTGTTAAGTAACTAAACTATCTATATTAGTGTCTATCTTATTATGAGCTTTATTGTGACCTATGAAGTGTTATTATACGATTTAACATTATTAAGTTATTCCCAGTATATTAATTACAGTCTACCAAATTCACAGACACATTTGGCTAAATATTGTACAAATGTTGTTCCCTATTTTACAGTACGATGTGGTTTGTCTGGTTTGTAATATAAACCGAGTATGTTTGAAACAAATGATTCGCATCTCATAGGCTGAGATTTGTATTCTGGACGTAACAGGCAGGACTAGGCTGGAAGCAGAAACTATAAGGACCCTAGACTGCTCGTAGGGATATTATATGTCATTGACCCGATCGATAATTCACTGTTCTCTAATTGGCGGTATCATCACGTTATACATTAATACGACACTGAGCACAAGTTATAATATAAACAATACGTAATAATTCACTGAGTAATGCTTGGTTGTATCTACCTATTGTTGTTTAGGACTGCAATTATTCAATCTCTTGTTGGTATATGTGCATACTGTGCGTATTGTCTCGATATAACCTTAAGTCACAGGCATATTAAGCAAAGATCGATAGTGGCTAACAGTGTAATCCAGGACGCTAGTCTCGTCCTATTCGAGACTCACTAGTTGGATGTACGTTCATCTTAAAATTCATGTTCACTCAGAAACTCGAATCCTGTACTGTTCTCTTCAAATACCATCACGTTATCTACTCAGCTACTGAGTCTTACAGTTCTACAGTGAACATCAACTCTGAGATGTAAGTTTATCCAGTTGATGAGTTTCAAATGGAACAAAACGCTCATCAAACTAGATTTTCACTGCTAACCATTATCTATCTTTGTTTATATTTCTGATTTTACTATTTCATTACTGTGAAAAAATCAATTGAATTAATAACAATAAAAAGAAAGAATATTGATATACTTGAAATGAAATAAAAAACTAAAACCTAGAAACATTGAATGACCATTTTGTCCTAGTTTCATATTTCACAAATAATAATCATTATTCATTTGAATAATTTATACAAGGTTAAGGAATTAGGAATAATTTAATTTTGTTTATTTATTTGTTTGTTTATATGTTCACTATAAATTTACTTACAAAATGTGATAGATAAACGTGTTAACTTTAATAGACCTTTAATTATATTTTTCAATAGTTGAGATCATGAATCAATTAAAGCTAAATTACCATGAAAAAACATGGAAGCATTGAATGACTGTTTTGTCCCATTGTGGGACTCCTCAGCAGTGCATAAAAATCGATAAATGTTAGATCATCATTGATAATTTGAAAGTATTAGACGGCTGTTTTGTTCTATTTTATAATTCTTCAGTTGTAAGTATCCATGATCCCATAGGTGGAATTTGAAAAAGAATATGATTGTTAATCATTGATTATTCTAGATAGTTATTATGCCAGACTATACACTGATTGAATGGTTTCAAAGTTATTTCGTTGATTCAGTATCTCAACCCTCAAACAAATCAAATGATTTATGTGGTTCATATCTATTTGGTGCCTCTTTTTACCAATGTTTATGTGTTTAAATCAGTAAATAATTTCAATGGTTGAGATTATGAGTCTATTGAAGCTAGACTACCATGGAAAACTTTGAAGCACCGGACAGCCCTTTCGTTCTGTTGTGGGACTCCTCAATAGTGTGAATCCACGATGCCACCTCGTGCGATTCGAACCCAGGACCTATCGACCTCGCACGCGAACACTTAATCTCTAGGCCAGCATCCAATGGTGTTAATGTCTAACTTCAACTGTTTCATGAAATTGAGTGACACATCCGCTATTTCGATAATGTAATAAGAAGTCTTCTTATTACCTTATCGAAATTTATCAAAGGGATCAGTTGCTTTAAACACCCGCTATTGTCTTCAGTGAGTTACTATCTCACAACAGACGCGGTTGAATTTCATTGCTTCCAGCTTTTCCGTTATGATCCAGCTTGAATTGACTCTTGATCTCAACGATTGTAATTACTATAATATCCACAAAAAACCCTCCTGATATAGATAAACAAATAAATAAATAACAGTCTTAAGTGAAATTATAAGCACTATTTTTCTCTTTTATCTGTCTATCTCTCCGGTTTTAAATAGTATCCAAATTGATATCATTATGTAATAAACAATAACTTCAGAGATTTTCAATTTAAATATAATTCAAGTTGGTGAGTCTTTACATAATAAGTTTGATAGGATGAACTCATGACAGTATACAATTTCCCTAAGTGATATTTATTAGAAGACAGTGTTATATTATAACTATATGGAAGTATAATTGATAGAAGTTGCAAAGTAGATACTAATTAATATGTTTATTTATTATCAGAATATGGATTTGTGGAGATTGTAGTAATTTTATTAGTTTTATTTGTGGGTTCATGTAAGCTAGACCACCACTGAAAACCTGGAAGCAACGGACGACCGTTTCGTCCTAGTATGAGACTCACCGGCATTGCACATCCACGATTCAAAACGTGGGACTCTAATCCACAACCATCAGTTTCGCTCATAGACGCTGAACCTCTAGAATATTGAGACGATATCCATCAGTGTTAATGTCTAACTTCAATCGATCCATGATCTTGCTCATTCCTTCATTCATTGTCTTCGGTGAATAAATGTCTCATACCCTACGCGGATTTGACTCCACTGGTCACTGTTGCTCATTAGAACTCCACGAAATCCATGTTGAAATTAGTCACTAATGAGCATATGATTATAACTATTATTATTATTGTTATTATTATTATTATTATTATGTACATAATAAATGAAATATCAATTATAACAAACAGGTAGTTTTCATTCATACTAGTTTTGTTTCTTGTAATCATAGGATATTACCCCTGTTCTTAATTGTCATTTCCCACAGGTTTTTTTCAATGACTAAACATCTAAACTATAAAATTTTCACTTAATGTCAATAGAATTTAACAGGAATATTGAAAAAACAACCTCCAGTGTAATCCATAAATGTAGACAAATATCTAAAGGGGATTGAAGCCAACAAGAATGAATAATAATTCTTCCTTGTCAACTAGGCAAGATATTTTGTTTTGGTTTTGCATTAGAATAAGTCATATTAAAATAACACCTATGACTGTTTCATTTTGATTAATGTAGTGTATTGTTAAGTTGAATTTAGTTACAATAATGTCAATATGTATATATACATATACATATATCAGATAATACTTCTCCTCATTTATTCCATTAAAAGTCTCTACTTGTATCATTTCTTTTGTTGTCATGTATGAATAGGAAATGTCAATTAACTTATATTATAACTGTTGTGATGAATGAAAACAAAGGCGGTGACAACCAAATGTACTTTATTAATAACATTACAGAATATCATGGTAAAATTTGAGAACCATAGAGTAAATATTTCATTTGCAAAATATCTATCAATTCTCTTAGACTTTGTTAGTTATTCATTTCCATATTAATCACACTCTGTTCTCATTCTGTTCTTTGTGATTTTCCTAACCTTTTTCCACTAGACATCCCACATCCTATTGTGACTATTAATATTATTGTTAATTAACTTATGCCTTGAATTTTTTAAGCATCTGATGTAGCCGCTCAAATAATATACATAGTGTATTTATTTATTAACTAAAACAAGTCAGATATCAAATTATTCTGTAGGTTCAAATTCCAGAGTGGGCATCAATCCTGAGATGCAGGTGCATCTAACTGACGAGTCTCAAATAGGACGAAACACGCATCACACTGGATTCCACTATTAGCCATAATCATTTCAGCTTATAAGCAATTAATGTTCTGTGCTACTTTGTAGTTATGTGTTTTTAGTTGGTAAAAAATATCTTAAAGATACTAGCCTGAAATGTAGCTCAAGTAAGTTGTGTTTTTTTTAAAAACCTTTAGATAGAATTAAATAAAATTTGGTACTTTTCATAATTCAGTTGAGATTACGGACCGATCAATCTCAGACCACAATTCAAAACCTGAAAACACTAGGCGACTGTTTCGTCTCAGTATGAGACTTCTCAGTAGTGCACACCCACAATCCTTCATGCGGGACCTTCAGCCTCATGATCTCAGATTAAAGTTGATACTTTTCAAATTGCTGAAAATGAAATAAATGATTTCGAACATGTGTTGAATGAAAAATATTTCGTTTTTTTTCCACTACCAAACATGAAAAAGAGTGAATTTAATGGTTAGACAGTAAGTTGTTTCAAAATTTTCTCAAGTATTATATAATATTGGTTATTTATGTTTGATGAAACTGATATGACAGAAATTTCATCGATCTGTAGTTTCGTATTTTCCCATTTGAATTCATTTCTTTAGTTGTTTACATTGTATCATTTCATTGATAGTTTGTGTTGGTGTTTCCATAAGTGAAGTGCGTGACCATTTTGTCCAACATAGTGGTTTGTCCATAACTAATAGTGACACTTACATATTTAACATCACTGTAAAAGCCTGAATTTAATGTTTACTGATGGAACAACTAATTTTTTCTAAAAATCTAGATGTTCATTTACCGGCTGATGAGGGTTTGAATTCACGAGGGAAAATTAGTTTCTTCATATAATAGGTATGCTTGTCAAATCTATCTCAACTAACACGAAACCTAAAACTAGGTTTTTCTGTCCACTGCCTTCAACCATTTAATATCTCATATTCTATTTAACAATGTTACCTCTATTACTAAAAGATAAAGTGTAAGTAGTATTTTGTCAATCCAATAAAATAATTTTTAATCACAAAACATCATCACTATCATACACAGATCTCTTCATTTAACTTTTATTAATTACACAGCAACAGTTCATGGTTACTTAAACTATAAATAAAACAAACGATTCATCTTATGATATTTAATTGACACTTGTTTTTCTAATCATGACAAATAGGAAGAATGTAAGAAATTTATCGATTATGTAGCACTTACTCTCATAAATTCAACACTTGAATCCAATGGATTATCCCGATGAAACAACAGAATAAAATTTTCTTCAGTTGGTAAAATTTTAGCCATCTACATTATAGAGGATAGAAAAAGAAATGGTAACAGATTATTATAGGAAAGTGTTCAATCATAATTAGCTGTTTATTCATTTAATTGTTACTATCAGTAAATAGTACAGAAGGAACAATATTCCATAAACAATCATTATTGACTTTTGTTAGAAATTGTGACCTGTGTGTCCTGTTTATTGTATAACGTAACGATACCGAAGTGAATTATCGATCGGACATATGACGTGTAAAACCCGTGCGAGCAGTCTAGAGTTCTTATTGGTCCTGCTTTCTGCATAGCCAAGCTATTTTAGTCCAGAACACCAATCTCAGCCTCTGCGTTATGAATCCTAAAAGTTACCATTCACTATGCTTATCGGGGCATAACAACTTTGTTTATTTATTGTTGAAATTAGATTGATATTATTTCCAATTTTGTTGGAAAATGAGGTGGTTGTAATTAGTTACTTAAGTTTAATCAATTATTCCATGGTTCAATCAGGATAGTTGTAAGACAGTTAGTTATCTACCACAGGCAATGAGAGATGGTTGCGTTATATCGTGGTTTGATTGCATTAAGATTTATACACTATTAAATCAAGGCTCAGTGGTCTATAGGTTAAGCGTTTACACACAGGACTAAACTTTACGGGTTCTATCCTCCATGAAGCAGTCGTGCATTTGCAATAACCAGAAATCCTATACGACAACGAAATGGAGATAGAGTTATATCTGATTTCGAACGATGGTCTAGTTAACATAGGTTAATGACGTAAACAATGACAATTTATGCAATTTTCACAAAACTCTATACTGAATACTTCATCCCCAACTGATTTCACATAGCGAATCACTAAACATTAGAAAAAAACTGTTCCATCTTAATGTATATATAAATTCTAATTGTGAATATGGGAACAAGTGACCAGTATGCAACAAAATGAACGCATTTATTCATAATGCAGTTCAGTCGTCATTGTATACTATCGAGTGATATTATCTTGGTAAACATAGACTGATCAATGATGAGATAGACACCAAACACTGTAGATCAAAACAATCTGATTGTATTCAACCAGTCATCATAGAAACATGTAATTTACCAATTAATCTTCTGATCGAACTCTATTCATCATGAGAAGTGAATGAGATGTTATCGATTACGACCATATAATGGGTTAGAGTCTACACGTGTAAAGTGTTACATGTCTTGTTGACGTTAAGTTACAATCCTTGTGTTTAGATTTACAGCTGATAACGCAAAGGATCATTTGAATAATTTATCAGAGGCCTCACTTGGATTCATCATTTTAGATAAGGGCTGTGCACCCTCTCTATTCTTGTTAAATTTTGTCGTTGACGTGCTTTTAGAGATGACACTTTCCTCAGTTAAATTTCCAGGGGTTAAACTTCTACCGAAAGATTCACTCTCTGACTTAGAATATGCTGATGACATAGTTCAGTTTGGTGAAGATGCTGACAAAATCCAGAGTCTTCTGGATACTATAAGCAACAATGCAAACACGTTCGGGATGAGAGTCTACCCATTCTCAAGATGCAAAATGTTGCTTCGGGATTGGGTCTCATCGACACCTGAACTAATAATAGGGAGTGAAGTAATTGAGCGTGTCGACCTCTTCACTTATCTTGGAATTCTCATCAGCCCTTGTGGTCTGGTGTGTGACGAAATCTCAGCACGGATTCAGAACGCTCGACTGGCTTTTGCTAACTTGCGTCATTTATGGCGTAGGCGAGATATCCGTCTATCAACAAAAGGACGTGTTAACTGCGCAGCAGTTCGTTCCGTCCTACCACATGGCAGTGAAACATGGCCAGTAAGAGTAGAGGATATTCGTAGGTTACTAGTATTTGATCATAGGTGTCTTAGAAATATTGCTCGTATATCCTGGGACCGTCGAGTAAGTAATGCAGTTGTTAGGAAACGGGTACTAGGTGAGGATGGCAAATCAATTGATGAAGTAGTAAACTTGATCAGTTGAGATGGCTGGGACACGTGTTACGTATTTCCAACCACCGACTGCCACGACGTGTGATGTTTTATGGTGTATGAGTAGGTTGGAAGAAAGCTACAGGTGGCCAGATCAAAACATGGTACAAATCCATGAAGTCACTGACAAGTGGACTGAGTTGTGTTGGTAAGTGTAGACTAACTGGTTCGGATCCACGACACGATGGCAACCGATGGTCAGAAACGTTGAATGACATGGCTGAAAATCGTTTGCAATGGCTCAAGTGCATCCACTCTTTGTGTTCTCACAAATTCTAACCTTCTGAATTCTCCATATTGCTCAATTTTTCTCTTTCCATATTCATTTCGCTGGATTATACTACTTGAATAACATCTTCAAACCCTAATGTTTCCGATTACTGCATATGCTCTTACCAACCCTACCATTATGGGATTTGAATCAACAACTGCATCTCTGTGCTAATGTGGTATAGCAACTCGAACTGATGTACGCAAGTACGAAGGTCTACGTTATTACTGACTGACTGACATCATTTTAGATTATCATAACAATACTAATACTAATAATAATATTACTAGTAATAAATATTACAATAATTTAAGAAATTATCATGTCTACGCTTATTTTTCCGTCTTGTTTTCTATATTTGTCCCTGATATTCATCGCTTTGTCATATCACCTAAATACGGCTTCCAAATGTTAAATCAATCGTCTAAAATACTTTTCTCTGTGTACTGAGCTTATCAAAAATAATAATGATAGTAAATGTTGATCTTTCTTTTGAGAATTTGTCATATATATATATATATATATATATATATATATATATATATATATGTTCTGCTCGAAAATGTACACACATTCGAATGGGTGCATCCATACATACATTTAATAAATTCGCTTATGAATAATTCATAGTCTATTTACCTAGAACGTTATAATCAATTGACTGTCATCATTGTATCATCTTCCTATTTTTATTCTCATAAAAACATACTTAAGTGGACAGATGAAATACAAATGTTTTATGGATTAAAACTAACTGTGAGAAGAAGAACATAATCTGAGATAATTTCTGACATAGAATACAATGTCCACCACCACCACCACCACTACTACTACTACAACTATTATGATTACTACCTAAACGTACTTCAGTAAGCTCAATTCGATTGTCAGAATTTTCATCGAATGCCTCCATAAATTCTTTTTTCATCAATTCCAACTCATCGCTAGGTATTGTCTAGGAGAAAAATAGAGATAATTGAAAGAAAAAAGTGACAAAGATAAAAACACTTCACATTTAATCAAGTTGAACAAATTGAACAAATTGCGAACTTGAAAATAAAGGGGAACAAAATAAATTACGATTATTATTATTATTATTATTATTATTATTATTATTATTATTATTATTATTATTAGATTGGATTGATATTGTGAGTGGATCAATGTTAGACCATCATTGAAAACCTAGAAGCATTGGACGGTCATTTCTTCCTAGTACAGAACGAAACTACTTTTTCAATGCTTTCAGGTTTTCAGTGATGATCTAACATTGATCCATTCATAATATCAATCTAAACTCAACAATCTGCATAACTCCATCATTAGATTGTTAAACGGAATGTTTCTTATATCTTGTTTGAAGAGTAGTTAAGAAAGGAAACAGGCAAATTTTCAAGCTGACAACTTAATGTTATCTAATGTTAACCACACTTTATTTTATAGTAATATGTAAGTCAATAAAGCTAGTAACATTTTTCAAAGATAAGCTAAGTAGTAACTTCACAAAGCTTATTAATAAATAATGAAGTGTTCTAATTATGCATGCAGTGTTTGATTTAAAATTGTTATCCTTTATTATTACATAACTTAAATCTGAAACTACCTACTGAATACTTTCAACCAATCAGGGCGTAGATAGTTTGTGGAGATTGATGAACTTTGTAGTCAGCATCATGAATGAATCGAAGTTAGATCTTTCAAAAACGAAGAATTATTCTAGACAGCTATTTCGTCCTAAAATGTGACCTCTTGGTAAGTGTAAACTATAACATACAGTAATTGTTTGAAATGTTTTATTTCATCATTATTCATGTATACAGTGGTGACTAATTTCAAGAGGTAATTCCTCAACCTCTAGTGAAAAACTGTGACCAGTTAAAGTCAATTGTGTTTCATATGAGGACTTTGTCCCCCACTGAGATGATCTCACATTGTTGCAAATTGAATGAAAATACGAGTGTGTAGACCGTTGATTACCAAGTAAATTGTCATAAGGTTTTAAACTAGATTTTGGAGAAGAGACTTCTGGGCTCGATCCCGATATTCAGAGTTTTTGTACCATCATCATAATTTTGATTATATTTTAATATGAAAGAACATTTACGTAAAATTCAGTAAAATCTCATTGTCATACGTACTAAAAAACATTATGGATATATGTGCTTCAATAGTTAAATTAATGAGTCGATCTACCCTAGACCACCGTTGGAAACCTGGAAGCACACGACGGCTGTTTCGTCTTCATATGGGATTTGTGAGCAGTGTGCATCCACGATCCTGCACACGGAATTCTAATCCAGGACCTTCGGCATCGCTCACGATTGCTTAGCCTGTAGACTACTGAGCCGGCTCCCACTGTATTAATATCTAACTTGCATTCCGCATGCGGATTGTGGATGCGCACTGCTGATGGTCTAGCTTAAAACGACTCATGAATTCAACTATTAAATTACTATAATCTTCACAAACCCCCATTCTGATTACTATATATATGGTATGTACTCAATATTGCTAAACGTCGTCTGTTGAGGAAACAGTGGAAAACAGTGTCATGAATGATAGTTTCAGCAGCCGTTCCCATTATCGGCACCTGAATGGAGAAGAAATATGACCTTTCGATTTCATTAGCAGTAAGATCATATTTAGTCATTCTGTCTGTATCTGTTGATTATCGCTTATATAGCTATCGACCAGAATGAAATATTAATTCTTATTAAATTTCATATTAAGTTCTTCGGCTAACCGGCACACTGTTGGTATTAGAATATTAGGCAAGACTATAATTTATGGACGAACCAATCGGATTTAAGATATCAGGACTCGGATTTCGTCGTGAAATTCATTCACCCATTTGTCTAAATAGAGTATTGGCATTCTAGATGATGTCAGTTCGTGATGAAAACCATAAATCTAATTCCTAACTTTAACTATAAATCATAATCCTTATTCTTCACACTGCCTTATAACCCTCATTTAATTCTAGTTAGTATGTGAATATTCTCAATGTCACTTTAGTGTTGCTCAAAAATCGTTCATAAATTATAGTCTCACCAAATACTAAATTCACAATATAACTATATACATATATTATACGATATTATTTTATATATTCATATGATCAATGCAAACATGTTGATGAATATAACGTGGAATCTGACTATTACTAACCGAAAGATACCTAGTTAAGTGTTAAATTAACAATATTTAAGATATATATATATATATATATATATATATATATATGCGCATCCACAATCCAATTCCGTGATATTCGAACCTAGAAGTTATTAGTCTCACGCGTGAATGCTTAACCTCTAAACCACTAAGCCGGCCAGTATCCAACAGTGTTAATTTCTAACTTCATGGGTTTGAATTTTGTGAGGCGAAATCATAGTTGTTCACTACTGATGAGTCCCACACTAGAATGAAATGGCCATCCAATCTTTCCAGATTCTCCATGGTAATCTAGTTTCAATTGATTCATGAATTCAACTATTAAAACTCCTAAAATCTTCACAAAACTCCTTTTTAATAATAAAAAATAACCATTAAAATTACACTATTTATTTATTATATGCTTATTTTATTATAACACTATTTAAATAGATAAAAGGTATATATAACACATACAATATTCTATAGATAGTAGATACATAAAAATGGATAAATTTTTTTTCTTCTTTTCTTTTCTTTTTTTCTTTGTTTAAAGTTTTATATTCCCTATAACTGAATTGTGTTTCTTTTATCACACATGTTCAATATGAATATTGTTTCTCATGAGTATGAGAATAATAATAAATTATTATGGTGTTTGATAAGTGAAAAACAAAAAAAAAACAAAATTTAAATTTTATACTCAATTAAGTTCTTATTGTCCCTGGGATAGAGAAAAGAAAAACAAAAAAAACATTTTTTTTATTATTTCATAATGTTTCATTTGACTTATTGTTTGGAGTGGTTGTTTTGGTAGTTTTAAATTTATGAGAAAAAAACTAACTAACTAACTAACAAACAAACAAACAACGATAAATTTTCATTTTTGAAGTTAAACACTTTTTTTATGGATAGCATGTGATAAGTTAACTTCATAAATACATTTTATGAGAATGGGGATTTGCGGAGCAGTATTGTAGTAGTAGTAGTAGTAGTAGTAGTAGTAGTAGTAGTAGTAGTAGTGGTACTAGTATTGGTATTAGTATTTGTAGTAGTAGTAGTAGTAGTATCGTAATAGTTGAATTCACGAGTCAATTATGGATCGATTGAAGTTAGATATTAACACTCATGGATGACAATTAAGTTGTCTAGAGGTTAATAGTTCATAATCAAAGCCAAAAGTCCTGGATTCAGTGCCCACATACGGGATCGTGGGTATGTACTACTGAAGAGTCTCATACTAGGACAAAATGGTCGTTTAGTGGCTTTAGGTTTGCAGTGGTGGTCTAGATTAAGTAGACTGATGAATTCAATTAGTAAAAATACAATTTAACCTTGAAATTTCTGCATAATCTTGTTGATTTATAGATATAATAGCCATATTTAACAAAACTATTATCAGAAATAAATGATACACTGAAGCTTATTTCAATGGTATAAAATGAACAGTTTCAATTTTTATTTCTTTATAAGTTGTAGATAAATCCCACGAAATTTATCTTTATACGTCATAGTGGATAATGAACAGTTAAGTAATTAAACAGTTTTCATTAAATAATAAACAATTTTGATAAACATCTTTTAATCAATTGAACTGGTACTATTTACATATCATCCATTCTGTAATAAGATAGCTTTGTGACGGTCTCCTCGAATATCCGGGATACCTGTTCCTACCATCTAGATATAACAACAAGTTACTGTCTTTTTTATGCTTCATCAGATCATTATATTAATTAATTGCACAACCTATTCAGCTGAAATGTTCACAACCTTTCACTGTACAACTTAGGAAACAGCACAATCAGACACATTGTGGCGGTTGACAATATGCATTGAAAAGAATGAACATTAATTCATAAGTCGATTGGTGAACTGCTAACATTTAACTGGTAGATCAAGAAATAATAAAGGGAAATTTATTGGAATACTATGTGCTGAGAATTCTATATTATACCAAAAATATAATATTGAATAGTCTTTAATAATAATAATAATTTGTTAGGATGATATCGCTGGGATCTTTAAGAATTTATAACTTTTACTAGGTTGACTCGGTTAGTGTCAAAAGAATCAAAGCAGATTGACTAGGGTAAGACACAAATGTCCACTTAAGTCAACTGTGAGTCATTTTCTTATTGGTATTAACGGTTAGCCATTATATTATATTTTAAACTGACTAAAGTTGAAGTATGTGAATGATTCAAAACCTTATCGAACAACTTAACATCATGGTATTTGTCACAAGACTTAAAATTTCAAACTTTTATCATATCGGGTTATTATAGTTCAAAATTTAAACAACTCAGGTATTTAAGCAAAAAATGGATAGTGGCCAGAAATGGAATCTAGTTTGACGTATATTGCTTCCTATATGGGACTCGTCAGCCGGATATACTTGCATCGCTGAGTTGACGTTCACTCTGGGACTCGAAATCAAACTCCATCTCCTTGTCCACTTAACTACTGAGTCCTGATAGCCACTCGCTTGTGCAACGGATATATCCATGTAATAGGACGAAACATGCATCCTGGATTCCACTCCTAGCCATCATCCATCTCTCCATATGATGCTTGTGAATTAAGGCAATAGGCACAGTATGCACATATACCAATAAGAGACTGATCAATTGCAGTTCTAAACATTAATGGAAAGATCCAAATATACAATACCAACTGAATTTAATTCAAGTATTTAATTTAATGTAATTATTCACTGAATGCTGTTAGTCTTTGTTGAAAACTACCTGTATACAACTAAAATCTTTTCTTTGGTTTTATTACTCATTAGTTAACAACTAAAATGTTAACTTCAGTGATAATAAAAATAAGACAAGGGATAAACATTATTTGTTTTACTTAAAGTACTAATCTTCTTATGGAATTTAACAATTCATCTTCTTGACTACTGAAAATAAATAAACAAAGATGAATAATGGATAGCAATGGAATCCATTTCGGTGGGCGTTTTGTCTTATTCGGGACTCGTCATCTGGATATATCTTTATTTCCGAGTTAATGTTCACCCCAGGACTCGAACCCAGTACCATTCACTTCATTCACCATCGTGTTATTGACTTAGCTACTGAGTCCAGATAGCCACGGGTTCGTGCAGTACGGTATTAGCCACCAACCATTTCTGCTTATAATGTATATGACCTAAGGTAATATCAAGGCAATCTATACAAGTTCTAAACATCAACGGCAGTAATTAAACTACCAATACAATAATGAATTAATCTTATACTTAGTCTCAAAATTGAATAATAAAGTTAATGAGATTAACTATAACCTATCGTCATTTCATTGTACAAATGACGTCTTTCATTCTAATCATTGAATAGGAAACATTCAATGAAGTCAAACAGATTACTATTTATGCAAACATAAATGTATATATATTTAACAACAATGACACATTTACTATTATTGTCTTACTATAAACTGGTCTATCATCAATAATCTCAACAGAGTATTACCAGTTCTTTTTTCCTTTACTTGGATGCTATAATATGTTCATACGGCGACTAATAATTAGTTTCCCTAGACCATATTTATTCAAACGAAATTAATTAGTGATTGAATGATGTAATCAATTATTCATTCATTGGTACTATATATGTATGTATCATAAAAAACCTTTCTATTTGTCTTTTCTTAATGATTTCATATGATATATTGTATTTTCTTAGTTTTTTAATGATCAAATACAGTAAGTGATAAGCAAATGATGTGACAGTTTATTATTACATATGACAAACTTGATTCTTCTACCATTCAAAGTTTCGTTTTGAGGGTAATTCTAATCGATGTTTGATTGATTTAGATTCGAAGAGTGCGACAGATAATCTTCATGTACTAGGATAAACTAAAGAGTTAGGAAAATCTAAGAAGTATGCTTAGTTCATGTCTGAATACTTCGACTAGTCCATACTTATCATTTCATGTAGTAACGAATATAGTATCTAAAAATCATATAGTATCAAACCTGGAAACAATTGACGGCCGTTCCGTCTTATTGTGGGACTCCTCAGCAGTGTACATAACACTAAATACAATATATAGACTGTTAACTAATGCCTAGTTACAGAAAGAAACAAATTATTTACATAGAAAACGTGTGATTTACTTTCATCAGTTAAATAAGACCAATCCTAAACGCTTTAATATAAATCATGAATCTATATTAATTAAAGAAATACTTCACACTTACCTCATTTCCTAATTCTTCAGAAAATACACTATAGATGAATTCACGTAGAAAATTATCCAATTCTGAACCTTCAATATAACCATTGCCTATTGAATTTTAAATAGAAAAATACAAGAGAATTGTAATGAAATAATTTTTTTTCAATTTAAGTTAATCACTTCAATTAAAGTAGCTTATACAATTCGTAAAAATCTACATTGATTTCTGCAATATCAGTAACAGTAAAAGCACTTGATATTTTTGAGATGAATCCAGAGCTATGCATAGAAAAGAAGTACGTTTTATTCTGGGTTCGAGTCACTCAGTGAACATCAACTCTGAGATGCAGGTAAATCCAGCTGATGCGTCCCAAATAGGACGAAACACGCGTCATTAGTTTCACTGTTAGCCATTATCCATCTCTACTTGTGAAAATCTATTCAACTAATATGTTTGTAATCAATTGATATTATAATGTAAAGTCTATTCAATGATTCATAGGTTATATACTTAGTTCATTTATGATGTCAAACAGAATAAATAACATATTTTCATTTATTAAAATATTCAAAACATTATTTTCTCTTGCGTTTAGTACATCTTTATTAAACACAAATAGTCACATAGCATGTTCATTTGTTCTATGTTTAACAAACTCAAAATTAGTTAATTCATATAAAAGGGTTTGGTTACTTATTCTCTGAAGAAGTAGCTTACACTAAGTCACGAAACGTCAGAAAATCTTTTTTTTCTACTCATTGGAATATTACACACATATTGATATATTTATAACTTATATCAAGTTAAAATCTAGCTAAACAAAACAGTTCATAGAAATATAAGTGTTTGTGATGAGTATTTAAGACAACGTTTTACAATGAACAATAGTTAGTAACAAATTGATTTTCATACGTTTACTTCCATTCTAAATTATAGTTTACAACGATTTTATAAGCATCGATGCTAAATTTGTACTTGACTGTTTCAAATAAAGTAAGCATTGGGTAGAAAGTTCTAGTAAGAAGCCGTGACTAGTAGAGCTAATTCATGTCAGGTAGAGACAGATATCTATCGCAGTTGATGGATGATGGTTGTGTAATCTCGTGGAATGGTTGAAGTTAGACATTAACGCCGTTGGATACTGGTTCAATGGTCTACAGGTTAGGTGTTTGCGTGTGAGATCAAAAGTCTTTGATTCGAGTCCCTTCAGCGGGATCGTGGATGCTCACGGATGAAAAGTCTCATACTAGGACGAAACGGTCATCCAGTGTTTCTAGGCTTTCAGTGGTGGTTTAACATTGATGCATTCATGATGTCAATCAAAAACTTAACAATCTCCACAACCCCATACTGTTAAATATATATCTTTTGTTATATCCTAATGAGTTGAAAAATTGTATTGTATCAAACGTTTCGTGACTTAATGTTATTCAGAAAGGTTTTTTTTCAATTATATTAAAAGTGGTGAGTAGCCTAAGCGTTTCATATAATGCTTCATTCCTCTGGCCTCAATAGGAAAGAACGACTGACTAATCATCCAACCTGGATTATTTATCCATACAACGACATTTGACCTTATTTATTTTCCACACAATCTGCATACACACCCAATTTCAACCTCATTACTTCATATCACAAATGCACAGTTTAATACAATTGTGATGTGTGCTACTAATATCGACAGATATAAGTAGTATATAACACTAGTCAGGAATAGAATGTCTAGCAGCATAAGGTTAAAAATATCAAAGAAAATAAAACGAGAACAGTGAATGATTGCTGTGGGAATGAAGGAACAGTCAAGTTTGAGACATTTGATTGATATTTTGCAAATGATGTATTTATTGTATGATTCTCAGATTTTACTAAAAGATTCTGTAATTTTGTGCTCAAATACATTTGATTGTCTTGGCTTGTGTGCCCAATCGTTACACAGTAGCATGTCATACAAATTCATCTTGATCAAGAATAACTTAACACTGACATATTCAGGTTCAATTATAATTTTGATTTCAGCTATTTGTTTACTCCGAAGAATTGGCTTATATTTAGTCTCGAAACCACGAGGAAAATAAAGGAAAGATACAATTTTTTCTACTCATTGGGATTACACATACATAGACACACGCACACACACAAAAGATATATATTTATTATTAATTTACAATGATGTTTCCCCTTCCCCCTCCCTTTCATTCAATGTAACATTTTAAACAACAATAACGATCACAACAACAAAAAATAATAGAATAATCTAAGCTAAACTCTTTTAATATTAAGCCAATCTAATTCACTTGATCATTTCGAAACTCAAATTCAATTTATTCATCATTGATAATATTTGTTTGATTGCACTAAATTACATCACTCATTCTTCTTCTTCTTCTTCTTCTTTTTTTCTTTTTTTTCACAACTAGTTCATAAGTTCACTATATAATATTCTATTTGTTTACAATTTTTCATTAATATAAACAATAATTTTATTTATTTTCTAAACATCTGCTTTTACTTGTTTTATTTCTCGTTGCTCTATTTATTTATTTATTTATCTTGCTTTCGTTTCCAATCTTAAGGTTAAGAGGACAGAATAATAATAATAATAATAATAGAATACTTGTAAGTGTAAATATTCATATTGTTCGAAATTGTAATAGAGCAGTTTTCCAAGTACTTAGAAAATATCAGTATAAGATTGTCGAGATGAGTAAGTTTTTGATTGATATCATGAATGGATCAATGGTAATCCATCATTGAAAATCTGGAAACACCGGATGGTCGTTTCGTTCTAGTGTGGGATTCGTGAGTAATGGGCATCCACAATCCCGCACATAGGACTCGAACTTAGAACCATTTGCATCACACGCGAACACTTAACCTCTAGTTCAGTGAGCCGGTTTTAATGTCTCATTTCAATCAATCAATGAAATCGCACGACCATCTTCCATTGTTTTCAGTGAGTAACTAACTTACAACAGACACCGTTGGATGCTAGGTCAATGATCTACAGGTTAAGCATTAGTGTACAAGACCAGGGGTCTAAAATTCGACTCCCTTTTCTGAGATTATGGATATCCACTGCTGATGAGTTCATTTCTTTCACATTTTCAATGTTGATCTAACGTTGACCTATTCATGATGTCAATCTAAACTTAGAAAATATTCTCTATATGTGTATAAATATACGCATAATTTATCGGATTATCACAATAACATGTTACGTACTTATACAAGGGAGTATTATAAATGAAAATACAGTTATTTGTTGAGTTAATTAGGCATATATATATGGGTTATAGTATTTAAATGGAAAAATGTAATTTTATACTAATTTATTATTATTATTATTATTATTGATATCAATGTGTGATCATTGAACATTATTTGTTTGATTACTTTGATTCAATTATTCACTAGTTCATTATAATACATACCTACCTCATTATGTGTTCTAATAATCACACGTTAACCTGTCTTTATAATGCACTAAATCAAATATGATATCACATATAGAACTGGTAACATGATGACCAGTACTTATTCTAATTAAATATAGATATTATCCACGTAAAATGTTGCTAGTTGGAAATACTGAAGTAGATTAGTTTCATGCACCAAACTATATTAATTTACTGTAATAAAAGTAATTAAAATCATATGGGGTTTTTATGGATATAATAGTAATTTTAGTAGTTAAGATTATGAGTCAATTGAAGCTAAACCACCATGGAAAACCTGAAAGTACTTCACTCCCCAGAAGTGTACATCCACGGTTCCATCTCGCGTGATCCGAACTCAGAACCTATACTCACTAGTGACTAGCTTCAAGAAGTATTTCCTAGAATTCTATTGAGAAACAGTGACAAGGTCTGTTGTGAAATAATAACTCACTGAAGATAAAAGTAATTATTAACACAATTCTAATTTCATCACTCATCTATGATTATAAATATTATTCACGTATTCAGGTTTATTTTTCTTTGGAAAATGAACACAAATAAAGATTTTCATCTACTAACAAATAATTGATCACTGGGTGATGATCAATGTCACATGTGTTAGGTCTTTTTTAGTGTAGATCAAATCCTATCGACTACAATTCAATCAAAGTCATATACGTTGATTCTATTTAGTTATGTTCTTGTCAATTGTTCATAATCTGTATTACTTACATAAATGTATTTGGTTGAATTTTGATATAATCACAAAAAAGAAGTCCATGAATTTATGGCACTGAGTAAATCTTTCTATTTAAGATAAATGACTTCCTCTCACTTATATATGTATGAAAAGCACATGGTTAAATCAATATTTCTTTTCAGTCAGCCATTGAATTTATGGTATCACCATGTTTATAAGTATATGGTTCTTGTACGCTTTATGTATGATAAACGTCGGATATCTAAGTTGTTTATCATTAGTGTCAAATGCCAATCATTATATGTTTTGTTGGGTAACAGTGACTTGATTGAGGTGTGAGCTACTTCTATCCACATAAGTAGTATATAACGATGATCAGACATAGAATCTATTTCCATGGAAGATCGAGAGGGAAAGAACGAGAACGAAAAGCAATTGGTATGAAAATGCATGAACAATGAAATCTGAGACGATTAACTGATATTTGTAAACGGAACAGTCAAGTTTGAGACAACTGATTGATATTTTGCAAACCATCTATTTACTGTAGGGTTCTCGGATTTTAGTGAAATGCTCTGTAATTTTGTGTGGTAATACATTCTGTTGTCCCCACTCGTGTTCTTGTTCACTACAGAAAAATCCTAAAATCTGTAATGTTTACCATGTGATTTCTTTGTTTCTACCCAAACAGTTTTATTCACAAAAAATTACTTCTGGTTAGCTTATTCGTTGATTAATTAATTAATTTATCTCACAACTGACCTGATTAAACTCCACTGGTCACTGCCTCTTACTAGAACTCACGGGTATACATCTTGAAGCCAGTCACTGGTCAGTATATGTTGATTAGTATCTGGGAAGCAGTGACCAGTGAAGTTCAACCAGGTTAGTTGTGAGATAGTAACTCCGCCTGGAGTCCCTCCGGGGGCTACTGCCGGTCCCAAGCCCGGATAAAGGAGGAGGGTTGGGC